GTCAGAGAAAACTAGTACCAGTCCTCTGCCCCTTCCTCCAGAGTTAAATACAAATAAATGTAATTATTTTAGACTTCACACCAAACACCATGAGAATGAGCTTCAAAACTTAGACAAACGAATAACAAGTGAAATGGAGCTGAGGAGCTGCAAGCAAGCATTCGCACACAACTCTTGAGATTTTCCAAACTGTACATCTCTCATGGTAGACACCTAATTGTGTGACTACGAAAGTAAACTCCGTATTGGGACTGCAAAGTCTTAATAATACCCTTGAACCAAAAATCTTCAAGTACCTGTTAGGCTGGAAACACACTGCATCAAAGCCAGTGATCTCACATAAATCTTTCTCCAGTTCCTGGTAGAGATGGCGATATCCCTGTGCTTGCTCTACTGGAGCATAAGGATGGATATCGGCAAACTTCGGCCAGGTGATTGGCTGAGTAAAAAAGACATCTGATTCAGTATGTACAGTTGTTTCAGGTCTGAGTTTTATTTACATACAGCATGGCCACAGTTAATTTAATATTTAAAATTTACAGCAGCACTAAATAATTTCTAAAGTGTAAAAAGTTGAAGTATATCAATATATTAAGTACCATACCATCATTTCAGTAGTGGCATTCAGTTTCATTGTACAAGAGCCCTAAGAAAAATAAAAAACATGCCCTCAATCAGACATGAATTGTTTTTAGTGAATTACTTTAACTGAGACAAATCTACAATACACTGATCAATTATGTATTCACCATTATATCTTAGGAGGAGGGGGTGGGATGAGGGAGGGTTAACCAAGATCTGAGTGTGTCTTGGTCATGAACATGCAGAAAAGAACAAGGCCAATCATCCATCCACAAAAAGAACAACATTTTCTTGGCGGATCTGGACACAGTATGTTAACTAAAGCAGGCGAGATAGACCAATCCTATGAAGATAGCCATGCGATCACTGCACAAAATTTAGTTTGTCCTGTGCCAGCCCTATCCTGACACACAAGATTTGGTTTGTGCGGACTTGAAAAAAGTGCTGTCTGGTCGTCCGGATCAATATATTTTCCTGCTGTGCAAATACCTTTTCATTCTCACTTGCCCGATCTGCAAGGGATCAGGCAAGTCGTCTGCCAACTAAATCATTAAAATAACAAACTAAGACTTGCACAGGGCAAGCAAAATTTGAGAGCTACTTGTCCCAAGGGCAAGCTGGAATTCAAGTTTTTCTTTTCCAGCCCTGTTTGTCTTGTGCTAGTTATAACTATCGCATGACAAACAGGAGATATCTGAGATATTACGTACCAAAGGAATCATAGAATGGCACAAAGAGATGTCTTTGTTTTCCAACAACTTCATGTAACGAACAATGTTTGTCTCTGAGTGGTAAGTGTTGAATACAGGATGGGTCATGTAGTCACTAAGTCTCTTGAATGAACTTTGTAGAATACTGTGTACAGGCACTTCCTCCATGTTCGCAGCCAAGGAATCCTAATAGAGAATGACACAACAACATTATTAAGTGAAGGTTAAACATTATTACTGGGGCACGAGTTTACTATTGTTATCATTATCATTATCGTTATCATTATCAATATCTTTATTATCTCATTGTCGTCATCATCATTGTTATCACTATCATTATTATTATATAGAGTGTTCCAAATTGTATCAAGGGTAAAGTGAACCACAACAGCTATATTCAACTTTAAGCAATCAAAATGAAATTGCGACTTTCTTGAGAATGCAATTTTAATAATAACTTTGCATACTTACAGTTGAACTGTCGCAACCAAACACCCACAAAAGATCTGCCAAGTCTTTCTCTTTGACTGTCTCATCCAGTGATACACCAACCTAAAATTATAAAAAAAAAAAAAATTAACATCCACAGTGACAATATATTACTACTAGCATAGTTCTTGAAGTCAACTGTAGAGGAATGTCTGTATCAACCCTGGTGTTCCATACTGCCTGATATTTTCTCAGTTTCCAAAGCATTATGCAACCTGCGGGAGCATTTTTAATTAAACTCCCCCTGTATGAAATGTATATACTTCCAAGGTTAACCCCTAGCACTAATGTATCACACCTAGTATACCAGTAAGTATTATTTACTCACAGTTTTTTCATCAAACTTTCTCAGATTGATCTGTCTCTGTTTAGCTCTTTCAAGAATGTCTGAAGCATCTCCAATGCCTGATGTAACCTACATGAAGATAAACGGAGAAATTCTAATAAAAAATATGTAGACTTAATATAACAAAGTTATGCAAAGCTTTTTTTGTGTAAATATATTTCGACATGGGCTAATATCCTAATTAGAGTTACATGTACATTGTATTAGTGACATGAAGATTCAGGACATACTGCTTACCTTTAAAGTGTCAAAGAATAAATCATTTTCCAGAAGATGTCCAGCACGTTTCAATCCTAAAATAACATTTTATAAGTTATAAAAAATGCATCTTTTGTTGCTTGGCAAAATTCTTGCCTTGAAAGCAAATACACAAATAGTTGCAAATCACTGACAGAAACACTCTAAAAATCAATTTTTCACATAGGAACAAAAGAAGATTCATCTCTCTTAATATATAATACAATATATGTTGGCACTCGTTGCCACAAAAGAATAAGGCAAGATCAAAACATAGACTTGTCCAACCGTTTTATTTCCCTTTCGGTCTCTCGACCTCGTGGTCAGCTAGTTTCTACATATCATGTGACTGACTGTGACTGACTGTGTGGGGGTGGGGTGACCCCTACATATACAAGTATATCAATACCAATAAGGTGACTTCCTTGGTTCTAAAATTTAATACTGGGTTGCTGTGTTGGCATTGGCATACTCAGAACTCAAAATCATTAAGAGCTTACAACTGTCATGGGGACACTTTTTTTACCAGACAGGTGAAAAAAAATATAACTCTCCATTGGGTTTAGTATGGCACTAAACTGGGGCACCTTTGGCCCCCATCCCTTCTTGAATCGAATATAAGTCCAATGTAGAGTTTCGCTCTAAGTATGAGTCCAGCTAGACATAAACAAAGCCTCCTGATCCATATGTGTACCATTCTTACCACTTTGGAAGCCAACAGAATTAAATCTACAGAGTCTTCATTTTAAAATCTTAAAAAGTCACCAATAGGTACAAATGTAAAATAATTAATTTCCAGGCACAGTCCATACCTTCAGCTAACAGAAGAGTTGCATTATGAACACGTTTTGCAATGTTCTTGATTCCCTTTGGTCCATGATAGATCGTGTACATTGCCGACATGTTGGCAAGAAGGGCCTGTAAGCAAAATGAACAGTATATTTGAGTATCTCTGAATAAATATAGAAATCACAACAAATGAATATAAATTGTTTTGAGATTACAGATCTTGGAAAAGCTTGAAAACAATTTATTTGATAATTGGTTTGAAAAGAATATACCTAGTATAAAATAGGCTGAATCATAAGCTTTGAATGCAGCACATGTACACAATACAACCAAATTGGTCTAACAAAAACTTAAATTGTGTTGTTCCAGAAAATATCCATACCCCTCCCACCCCTCCAGAAATTCCAGTTTGGCTACATAATTTCTTTTAAAAGATTTTGGCTTTTAGACCCCCCCCCCCCCCCCCCCCCCCCCCCCAAAATCC